CCCCAAAACCTCCCGGGGACTCCCCGCTATCCCCCCAGACTGAGAACTGACCGCTCATCACACCAGTGAGAAGCTCCATCACCCCCTGGGCTGGGGACCAAGTGCCTTTGGGACGCCTCCTGTGTCCCCCCCCATCCCCAAATCCCCCCCTGTGCCACATCCTCATTGCACCGCCTCCTCCCCGTGCCCCCTAAAATTACTCGTTAATGACCCACGGCAATTAAAGAGGTCTCCAGGAAGGCACCCAGCCAGCAGCTTCAGGAATAATCCATTTATTTCAGCATAAACGTGTGAAGGGGAGCACAATTTTCTGGATAGGAACGACGCTAAATCCCGTAATTCACCAATATTGGGCTCAAATTAATGATAATCAACACCTAAGAGATAATTATAATAATTAAGGGGCTTGGAGCAGTCCAAATTCCCCGATCCCATCATCCTCGTTAAGTGTTGAGTGGCGCAAGCATCGTCTGGACGAAGCGCCCCAAAATGCGGGGTGACCATCCCAAAATGGATTCCCACCATCCCAAAATGGGGGGCAACCATCCCAAAATGGATTCCCACCATCCCAAAATGGGAGGTGACCATCTCAAAATGGATTCCCACCATCCCAAAATGGGGGGCAGCTGTCCCAAAATGGATTCCCACCATCCCCAAATGGATTCCCACCATCCCCAAATGGATTCCCACCATCCCCAAAAGGATTCCCACCACTGGCACTTGACTATTTTTTTTTTTTAACATGTTCTTGGAATTTGTCTCGGTTTTTCCACTGTTTTTAAAGTTGAAGCCGCGTTAAAGCTTCAGTCGCCTTCGCCGTTATGGTGGCAGCTCCATATGTAGATGATAACACGGTTGGAAACAGGAACAGCCGTTCTGGGTGTAGATGAGCAGCATCTCAGGGGGGTTTATGGGGGTGTTGATGGGAGATGACTCCCCCAAGGGAATTAAGGCATAGATTAAGGGGTTCAAAAGGAGGCCACTTCACCCCCAGACCCTGCTCCTAGCTCTGAGGTGCAACCTTCAGCATCTACGTCCTTTCGTTCCTTGCCAGGGCTGTTGTCCACGTAGGCGGACCATGGATCTGCCTTGGGGTAGACCCAAAGACGCAACAGGGTAGGCTCGTTTGGAAGCAGCAGCTCATGTAGTCAAGCCATGTCCATATTTCCACCATAAGCAAAGTTTCCCAAGTGTCACCAGGCTTGGAGGTGACATTGGGTGGCATCATCCCTGGCAACCTCACAGATTTCAGCAAGTAGACTTCTGGTGTCACCTTCTCAGGAGGTTGCAGCCTGGACCCACCGTTGGGTCCGAAGGCAACGCAAGGCAAGGAGAAACATTCCCTTGGGCTACCCCTAAGGCATTTAGTAACTCTGTGGTCACCGGAAATTGGATGTTCTCGTTGAGGGAAGGTGTTTGGGGTCAACCATGGTCCCGTTCCCAACTTAAGGAACGACGATTGTAAGGGAACACGAAGACTTCACAGCAAGGAGAAAACATCTCACTTATCGACTGGGATTTTGACATCAAGACCATCAAGAAGTCCCATGGCAGTCCCCAAAAAAGGGGGGGGTCCCTGCTGAGGTAGGAAATCGCCATGGAGCCTCGTCAAGGGTGAGCGAGCAGGTGGCTCCAGTCGTTGATACCGCTCACTCAACCCATCTTATGGAGCAGTTGGGATCCAGAAGCCTGAGGACCTTCTGCAGCAACAACGGGAGATGAAGTCGAGGGCAAGTTGAGAAGGGGGGTTGGAGGGTTGGTTGGGATGAGTTTGGGAGGAGACAGACTTGGAAACGAGGGAATAAGATGAAATTCAAATGCGAGCGCCGTCAGAGCCCAAAGGTGTCAACAGGGTGAGGAGATGAAGGGTCACGCTATGAAATGAGTGACGTAGGAACCCCGCGCAGTCAGGAATTCCCTAATCCTGGGCTCAAATCGGTATCTGGCTGCGCAAAGACTCACATGGCCGTAGTCATCAGGTAGGACACGGGGCACCTCTTTGGATGAGCAGCTTGGACCAGGCCGATGGACTCAGGGCATGTCAAATTCTTTTATTGTGGGGCGGCAGAAGGACCATCCGGGCTCGTTCCTTGATCACCACACCCCACCTCCCCTCCCACTCCGGGCTGGGTCTTTCCTCTTGGCATGTGGTGCTCGGACGCATCGCGCAGGGCAAGGCCAGCCCTGGTCCTCCTGTGGATCTCCTGGTGCCTTGTACGGTGGGAGGCCTGGCGGAAGGTTTTCTTGCAGATGGGGCAGGAATAGGGTTTTTCTCCCGTGTGGATTCGTTGGTGGGTGACGAGGAGGAAATTCGAGTGGAAATTTTTCCCGCAGTCAGAGCATCTGTAAGGTTTCCCCTCAGCGTGGAACCGCTGGTGCTTCAGGAGAGCTGCGATGGCACCGAAACATTCCCCACAGCTGGGACACTTAAAGGGTTTCTCCTCGGTGTGGCTCCTCTGGTGTCTCCGGAGGGTTGAGCCATCGTTGTAGCATTTCTCGCAGTTGGGACACTTGAAGGGTCTCTCCCCCGTGTGGATTCGTTGGTGTTTCAGTAGGCTTGCGCTGTGGCTGAAGGTCTTCTCACACTTGGAACATCTATAGGGTCGCTCTCCGGTGTGGGTGGCCCGGTGAAGGACCAGAGCTGACTTTGCATGGAAGCTCTTGCTACAGTAGGGGCATTTATAACGTCCCTCCCCTGGGCGGGCTCCCTGGGAGGTCCTCTGCTTCTTCTCCAGGTGGATCTTCTTGTGCTTGATGAGTCCAGAGCTGTCCGTGTAGCTCTGCCCGCACTCCATGCATTTGTACGGTCTCTCCCCGGTGTGGCTTCGCTGGTGTCTTGTAAGGTGGGAGCTCAACCGGAAGCTTTTATCGCAGTCAAGGCAGTTGTAGGGTTTCTCCCCGGTGTGGATTCTCCGATGGGCGACGAGGTCTGAACTCATGATGAAGCTCTTCCCACACTCGGGGCACTGGTAGGGCTTCTCTCCAGTATGGACCCGCTGGTGAACGATGAGGATTGATCTCCGGTTGAAGCCCTTCCCACAAGCCGAACACTTGAAGGGTTTCTCTCCCGTATGGATCCGCTGGTGAATGGTCAGGTACCGTCTCAAGCTGAAGTTCTTCCCGCACGCGAGGCACTGGAAAGGGTTGTCCGCGCTATGGGTGGCTTCGTGGGCCAGCAGATACGTGCTCAACTGAAAGGTCTTCCCGCAAACGAGGCAGACGTAGGGTTTCTGCCCGGTGTGGATCTTCCGATGGGTGCTGAGGGTAGAGGTGAGACGGAAACGCTTCCCGCAGTCCAAGCACTTGTAGGGTTTCTCGCCCGTATGGATCCGTTGGTGCTTGTTGAGCGCTGACCCAACTCGGAAACCCTTTCCGCACTCGTGGCAGGTGAAGGGCTTCTCACCGGTGTGGATGCGCTGGTGGGGGATGAGGAAGGACCTCCGGCTGAAGATCTTCCCGCAGTCGGGACAGCTATAGAGGGCCTTGAGCATGGCCCCTTCTGCCTTCCCAGCGATGTTCTTCCCGCTCTTGCTGCAGCTGTAGGTCCTCTTGGCTGCAAGGCTCCCACGGCGGGCTTGCAGCCGTCTCCCCTTCCTTGGTGATGGGCGTCCATGGGAGTCATCGCTCGGTTCTTCAGAGCCTTGTTGGGGTTGACTCCCACACTCGTCCTGGTTCAGCTCTTGAGGGATGTCCACCTCGGGTGGGTCCCAGTGCAGCTCAGACCATACTGGTTCCTCCAGACTGGTTTCCTTCCCCTCCGCCATCCCGTCAGCTGTAGGAACGAAGATCCCAAGCCCAAGTCAGCGCCTTTACCAAAGTTCCTGTGAAAGTTTAAGGCTCTGATGCCCAAATCTCGCCTGCTCTGCAGCTCCAGTGGTACCGCAGGGTGGTTGGTGATGGTGACCCCAGGCTACAACCCCACACCGCTGCAGCTCATGGGGCATGAGGACATGGGAAAAGGGCCATGGGAAAGCGATCTATTGAGGGCTACCAGACAGAGAAGGTCCACGGGGACCTGGGCTGAGGAAGCACCACGGTGTCCTTCTCCTCCCGTGCTGCCCACCTGCCCAAGTGGCTTCTTCTCTGTGCCACCCCTTCCCACCACATCCAGAACCCACCCCTTGCTCCACCGGGAAGACCTGGAGAAGAAACAGGATGCGGTGATGGGTTCCCATGGTCACTCGCACCTCATGGGTGGGATGGGATCGACCACCACCCCCTCACCCTGTGTCCCAAAGCATCATCAACCACCAGCATCCATCCGGACCTGGTGAGAAGAGCCATGTGGGGCGCTCGGTGGTCCCCGTGGAGGAGGCTCCTCCTGTGACCCGGATACAGTGAGTACTGGAGCCGCATCCTTCCTCCTCTTCCTCCTCCTCTTCCGCCTCCATCCCTCCTCTTCCTGCTCCTGCTCCTCCTCCATCCCTCCTCCTCCATCCTTCATCCCTCCTCCTCCTGCTCCTCCTCCTCCATCCCTCCTCCTCTTGCTCCTCCTCCCCCCTTCATCCCTCCTCCTCCTGCTCCTCCCCCACCCTTCATCCCTCCTCCTCCTGCTCCTCCTCCCGCCTCTATCCCTCATCCTCCTCCATCCCTTCTCCATCCACTCCTCCTCCTTCTCCTCCTCCTCCATCCCTCCTCAGTCCCTGCTCCTCCTCCATCCCTTCTCCATCCATCCTCTTACTACTCCATCCCGCCTCTATCCCTCATCCTCCTCCATCCCTTCTCCATCCACTCCTCCTCCTCCGTCCACTCCTTCTCCTCCTCCACGTGTGACCGCTGCCTGCCCTTGGTCCCCTTTCCCCTTCCCCAAAACTCATCGCATCCCCTGGGAGGGCCATGGATGGAGCTGGGTTGGGGAGGGATGGGGCAGCGCTGGGGCTCTTGGCTGCTCCCACCCACCGCGGGTGAACCCGGGAAGGGGGAAAGAAGAGGAAAAGTGAGAAAAGTCGTGGGTGGAGATAAAAATAGTTTAATAGGAGAAGGAGGGGAAGGGGGGGGAAGGAGGAGGAGGAGGAAAAGAAGGAGGAGGAGGAGGAGAAAGAAGGAGGAGAAGTAGAGAAGGAGAAGTAGAGAAGGAGGAGAAGGAGAAGTAGAGAAGAAGTAGAGAAGGAGGAGAAGTGGAGAAGGAGGAGAAGAAGTGGAGAAGGAAAAGTGGAGAAGAAGGAGAAGGAGAAGTGGAGAAGGAGAAGTGGAGAAGGAGAAGTGGAGAAGGAGAAGTGGAGAAGGAGAAGTGGAGAAGGAGAAG